ACTCTTTCTCCTTCCTCTGCGTTCGTCGTAGGATGCCCTTGTCTATCTCTTGCGCCTCCGCGGTCCAGATGTCGATCTCATCCGTCGTAACTGATGGTACTGTCTTGGTTGTTTCTGTCTTCGTCCAGTCCTTGACTGAGATCGTTAGGCGCCCCTCCTCGGCCTCGCTGAGCGGCACCCCGTACTTGTTGATCGCCTTGAAGCCCGCCTTCCGCTCCTTCCAGCTGGTGGATGCTAAGCAGGGTTAGCGTCTTCTATTTCGGCAGCCTCTGGAATCGTAGATTCACTTCGGCTCCTGCAAGTCCAGCTGCCACCTCCTGCTCGCCTTCTGCCATGGCCGGGGCGTCAGCATTCAGGCATCGGAAGCGCATAAATGAGCCCCCTCATTCTCGCAATGACCCCGCTGTCCTCCGCGCAGCCGTCCAGCACTAGTGAACCTCCGCATCCTCGCAGGCACGCCGTGCCCGGCACAGCGCGTCCATCTTGAATAGGTCCTTTCCTTATCACGTAGGCCTCGGTCTCCTCCAGCTCCTCGTAGTTCACCTGCAGGCCAGATGATGGTGCGCGATCCTCTGTAGGCCTTTAGTCTGCGCCCGTCCTACGTTCCGTCCACAACCATGTCGGTCGCACGCCATGAGGTAGGCTCTCGCAGGCGCTCCTTACGATATCTCGTAGTTCCGGGGCACTGTCTTAGGATGCTTGGCATGGGTCGTACGCCAAGTTCCTGAGTCCTTGCGGTGCCATCTCCATCGTGGCGCGCGCGAGCTGGCGGATCCGGCGCAGCGCCCAGTCCACGCACCAATCCACGCAAACCTTGTAGACTGCTTCCATGTTCTCACAGCTGACCCATAATGCTGCAATATGTGCTGCTCGAGCTTTGATCTCCTGTAGGTCCGACGCTGTGATGTGCTCTTCATGGTAGTCGGTGTTCGATTTGCTGGGCCATGTCTGTCCTGATTCAGATCCTGGCGTTCGGTCAGCACTACCCTCAGGTATGCTGTGGATCCGATTCGCTTTTCCAGGCCACTCTCGCGTACCTTGACCGTCCCCAAGTGCTGATACCGCCCAGGCGTTCACGATCTGCTCGTCGGTGTCAATCTTCACCTTCGTCAGACTCGTGATCTCCTCCATCGTGGTCTCCATTTATGCCAGATGGCCACTCACGATCTGGACGGCAGTCATGTCCTTTGAGCTGTCCGCCATCAGTAGCTTCACTGCCGCTGCCATCGCAAACCCAGCCCGTCGTAGAAAACCTCCAGGTCGCCCGCGAAAGCCACGACCACCACCTCGTCCTCCACGCGGTAGGCTGCTTGATGATCCACCGCCTGACGGCCTTGTCCTCTCGCGCTCCGGGTCGCCTTTCCAGTGGCCCTTCTTGCGGCATGCGTTGCACTTCGTGCGAGCCCTTATCTTCTTGAGCTTCTCTTCGGCTTCCTTGCCGTCCATCTTGATTGATCCCTGCTTGTTGATGTTGGCATTCCAGCCTCAATTTGACTTGCCCTGTGCAAGCCTTTACTGGGCTTGCTTGCAGTTGGGCGCGTGACCTTTTCGTCCAGCCTTCCACCCTAGACGCTGCGCCTCAGCCGCTAGAGTGCCACGCACCTCCTGGCTGACCCCCTCGGGGTCGACGTCGTCAATCACCCCTTCGAACTCGCCGGTGTCGGCTGCCAGCGCTTCGTAGTCTTCATCGCTCAGAAGCCCGTCCTCATCGCATGCACCGCGCTCGTATCCAAGTAGCGCTTCCTCCTCGTCATCGTCGTAGTCCACCGGGTATGCCCCCTAACGTCCGAGCAGGTTCTTCTCTGCATGTCGCGTCCAGCTGGATGAGCATCGCCGCAGCCGCGTCGTCCCAGATGTATGTGTTGTCGCACTGCCCGAGAACCGCCTTGTGCTCGGTCACGCTGGCATTGGCCAACTTTAGTAGGAAGTACGTCCGCGGGTCCTCGCTCGCCGTCGCGTTCGCTGAGAGAGACTTGAGCCGATCATGCTCCGTCTCCCGCCTCGATATATAATCGTGCACAGACTCCGATCTGCTGCGAAATCCTTAGAAGAAATACTCCTCGAATGCCTGCTGCTTCTGTAGTGGGGCGATCCGCTCGCGCGCTCGTCGCGCGCTTGCCACCGCCATACTCACTGCAGCAAGTGGGTCATCACCTGCTCTATCCTACACTGCTTGCGTCGCAATCTCGGCCCTCTTCCTCGCAAGGTTCCACGCTCGCCCATTCAGCGTAGAGCTTTGCAGCTTCTCTTCGGTCGCATAGTAGCCGAGGGTCGCGCGTTCCTCGAACTCCTCGCCGTAGGCTGGGTCGCCGTTGTAGTGCACGACACCCTCCTTGTCCACGAAGTGGAGTCCGTCGTTGGGATGTTGCTGCCTGGTCGCCATCTTGTCTGTAGTGATGGTGTTACCGTCTCTGATGATGGCGTCGCCGTCCAGCTCGTCGTAGATGTCGCTGTCACTGCTGCCGTCCGGGTCGTGGCAACGATTCTTGGCCAGGCTGCAAATCGTGACGTTCGGCGTGTTGATCGTTGAAGGAAGTGCGCAGTGGCAAATCACTGCGAGAGTCTTGAACGCCAGCATATATCTGCACGGCCACTCACTACGAATCTCGCAACCGTAGAACTGACACAGCTCAAGGCGACCAGTGCAAATACAGATCACAATCTCCGCCCCGCCAGTACCTGATGCAAGCACACAGCAGAACATATTATCCCGGCAAGGCCACCTAACAGCGATGTGTACAAGCATATGTGCAAGCATTCCCCTTAAGATTCAGGTGATAATCCAGTTGTAGAATTCTGCTGTTCTCGCAGTCGCAGTCGCAGTCGCATTCGCAATGACAGTCGCAGTGGCAACGGCCTGAGGATCCAATGGGATCCTAAGGATTCCTAGGGATTCTAAGGCATCCTTAGGCATCCTTAGGAATCCATAGGAATCCTCAGGGAACATCAGGAATCCGTAGGAAGCCTGATTCCTATGGATTCCTATGGATTCCTAAGGATTCTTTGGGAATCCTAAGGATTCCGAAGGATTCGCCTGCCTCGACCTCAGCCTCAGCCTGCCTCAGCCTCAGCCTGCCTCAGCCTCAGCCTCAGCCTGTCTCAGCCGCAGCCTGCCTCAGCATCAGCCTCAGCCTCAGCCTCAGCCTGCCTCGGCTTGCCTCGGTTTCAGCCTCAGCCTGCCTCGGCCTCAGCCTCAGCCTCAGCCTCAGCCTGCCTCAGCCTCAGCCTCAGCCTGCCTCAGCCTCGGCCTGCTTCAGCCTCAGCCTCAGCCTGCCTCAGCCGCAGCTTGCCTCAGCCTCAGCCACAGCCTCAGCCTGCCTCAGCTTCAGCCTCAGCCTCCGCCTCAGCCTGCCTCGGCTTGCCTCAGCCTCAGCCTCAGCCTCAGCCTCAGCCTCAGCCTCAGCCTGCCTCGGCCTCAGCCTCAGCCTCAGCCTGCCTCAGCCTCAGCGTCAGCCTCTCAGCCTCAGCTTGCATCGGCCTCAGCCTCACCCTCAGCCTCCCTCAGCCTCAGCCTCAGCCTGCCTCGGCCTCAGCCTGCGCCAGCCTCAGCCTCAGCCTGCCTCAGCCTCAGCCTTCCTCAGCCTCAGCCTCAGCCTTAGCCTCGGCGTGCGTCAGCCTCAGCTTCAGCCTGCCTCGGCCTCAGCCTGCCTCGGCTTCAGCCTGCTTCAGCTCGGGCATTCAAAATATGGCACAGGACGGGTGTTCTGGGAGCACGAAGATCACGAAGTGGCCCACAGCTGTCTCCGGGCATTCAAAATGTGGCCTGGGAGTGGTGTTTTGAGAACACGAAGAACACGAAGTGGCTTAGAGTTGGCTCCGGGAATTTAAAATGTGGCTTGGGAGTGGTGTTCTGGAACACGAAGAACACGAAGTGGCCTACAGTTGGCCCCGGGCATTCAAAATGTGGCCTGGGAGTGGTGTTCTGAGAACACGAAGAACACGAAGTGGCCTACAGTTGGCTCCGGGCATTCAAAATGTGGCCTGGAAATGGTGTTCTGGGACTGGATTCCTAAAGATTCCTATGAACTCTGAATGATTATTAAGGATTCTTGGGACTGACGGATCCGTCCGGTTCCTCGTCCGGTCCCCGCCCAGACCCCCCTGGGGCGTCAAGATGCTCTCTTTTGACACCACTAGAAACCTAGCAGCAAAAGCTGTTAGGTAATAGGATCGATTTATCTCCGCATTCACAGCAGTCACGAGTAGGCGCGCCCACCCCCCCGCCCAGTTTGAGCCAGAAAGGCTAGGGGGCGAAGGGAAAGATAATTCATTATGACCCTAAATCCCACATCCTCGCCTAACTGATTTTCGCGTTCTGCCCAAGAGAGTCCTGCCGGCCACGATCGTTGAGCCTTTTGCCGCCGCAGCCGTGCCGCCCGCTCTGCAATGAAAACGTCTTCCCACAAAGGGCATCGACACCTAGACCGTGACTGAGCCATTGTGTCAGCACTTCCTGGCCACCGGTTCACCTAATTTGGACTTGCTTGCATGGCCCGCAGGTCCCGCTGTCAAGCACTTTCTCGGATGGTCGCCTGGTTCAATGGCTGGACATCAATCCTTCTCCAAGAAGAAGGGCGCCTCTGACTTCGACGACTCTTTCAGTTCGGCACCTCGGCGCAGCGATGCCAGACATCTTCCTCAAGCAGCGCGTGCAGTAGGGGTCCAGACTTGACTTTTGAGTCATTGGATGGGCCCCCCGAAGTTTCGCCTGGTGGGCGGCCGCGGGCGCCTCGCGAGCGCCCCGTGCGCTGGCGGGATCTGCCGAGAGTTCGCCTGGCACGGGGCCGCGGGCGACGCGCGGGCGCCCCGTGCTGTGTCAGGCGCACCGTTTGCATCGCATAGTTTTTTGCCGCGTAGCTTGCGCGAAGCTGAGGAGGGGCGCCTGGAAAGCGACGCGCTGCCCGCGCCGTCTTCAGCCGTTGGGGGGCTGGGCGAAGTGGCGGCAAAGGGGTGCGGTCGGGAGCGCAGCGGCGGCCATCCGACGGCCCTAGGCCGCGAAGGTGAGGACGAGGGCGAGCAGTGGGCCCGCCCGGTAGCCAACGCCAGCAGGGTGCAGTGGGGGGCCATGCACTCCCCGCGCTTAAAGACGGCGCTGCAGGAGGTGCTGACGGACCCCCCAACGACGATGGGGACCAAGCAGCAGCTCGAGCAACGCCGGGTCTGTTTCGAAGGGTTCGCCCAGGCGGCTGCGGGCACAGAGTTGGGGGGATAATCTTTTTGGCGCGCGCGGCGCCTGGGCATGTGTTGGGCAGAGGTTTGCAGCGCATTTCGAATTATAGGAGTCTGTTCTTGATGGCGAGTTTCTGCGCCGCTGCGGGGCGCCTTCAGATAGCAGTGATGCGTTGGTTCACGTCGTTCTATGTAGCGATGATAATCAGAACGCTGCGCGCGCCTAAAGTGGCGAGCGGTCGATTGCGAGCAGTTGATGACTTTTCGACGGTAGCGCGCGCTTCCGCGGCGAATCGGCGCGCCACGCGCAAGCTGGCGCCCAAGGTGGCGTCGGAGGGTGGTTCTCGGAATCATCGGGGCCCGGGCATTCGAAGCAGTGTTGGGCGGGGATCGGCCTCCAGAGGCCCGATCTCGCGGCGGGGCCCCGAGGGGGCCTGCAAACCGCGAGGGCGGGCGCGCCGAGCCCGTCTTCGTGGTCAGTTGGAAACAAGAACAAAACAACTTACAACACGGCTTACGCAGCGCAGCTCGCACCCCGTAGCTGCCGCCCGCGGCGCCACAAGGCTTGCGCCGCATAGGTTGCCCATCGCACAGCTCACACCGCATGGCTTCCACCACTTCTCCTGCGCAACTTCGGCTGCGCACCGCAAGTGCATGAATATTACTGCGTAGGGCCAAGTTGGGAAACAGCTGATATGATGCAAGGCGCGCGCGTGCGCGCGCGATTCTCTTACTGGGCGTCGAACTTCGATCGAGGCCCGCCTTGCCATGGAGTGCGCCGGCCTTGGAGGGCAGCGAAGCGGGTCGGGCACATTGCTCAGCGCGCGTCGCGGTTGGTTTGCCGATCTGGCGAGGAGGATCTCGATCGCTGCCATCTCAATTGCGCGCGCTACTGGCGCCCTGATCCCGAACGCGCTCGCTCCCAACCCGAGGTTGATGCTTGCGACTAGTTCCTGGGCGCTGCGCCCGTCGCCGACGCGCCAGTAGGTTGCGCGCGCTATCATAGCGGCTGAACGGCCTCCTTCTTCCCAATCGGACAGCAGAGGAAATTGGCGGCACGCGCGCATGGGCACGCTCTGCGCAATGCTGCGGGGGCTACCACCTGAGCGCCCGTCGTGCGAGTCGGGCTGTTGGCGCTCTAACTCTCGCAAGACAGTTTGGCAGTGGTCCTTGTTTCGAGCTCAACGTATTCAACCTGGCAGTTTCCGCACTCGCGACGCTGGCACCGCTAAATGTCTTTTGGAGTCTGCTCATTCCACCCCGAACGCTCCTCCTGGCCTCGCTCTTGCCCCGTCGCTACCTTGCGCGCTCAAAGTCGCGGCGGGCCCCCCTGCCTCAGCGCGCGGGCACGGCGCCGTCCAGGCATGCTTCTACATGGGCCGTGCTTTCGCGCAGCCCCTGCATCATCACCAGTGCGCCTCCCAGGCGCGCCATGTGCCCCGAGTTTTATCACTGCACCACATTGCTCAAGCAGCCCCCCCCGCGCGTTCAGAGACGCCGCCCTCCGGCAACATGCCGCCGCGCGGGAGGCAATTCGCTCGACCGATGTTTTGTCTGTTGTCCGTTGCGCGATTGAGTTTGCTCGCCCCAGTTAGGTCGGGTCACCTTTCTCGCCCTGCCCCCCGTTGATCGCCCTGTTCCTGCGCATCTTCCTCCTGGTCTTCATCCGAAGTGCCGCGGATGCATTCGATAGCGCGCGCGTGCGAAGAGCGCGCCAGGCCTGCTTCACGGGCGAAACACGTGGCGCTCGCACGCGATAGCGCGTGTGCCGACCAGAGCAGGCTGCCGCCGTGGACGACGCCGCCGCTTCCATGGATCTGCAGGCCGCCCTCCACGCGACCGCGAGGTGCGTCGCTCGCGCAACCAGCGCGCGGCGCCCAGCCCATTCACTCAATAACCACGTTCAAGTCGTGCCAGAAGAGAACCGCGCGAACACACTTGCTGTTTCACTGGCCCAACGCGACCAACGACATCCTCGCCCAAAAACAGGATGAGCACGGTTCATCTCGCGAAGAAGCCCAAGTGGCGCGTCGCCTCCTCTTGCCTCAAGGCCCAGCTCGGGGATGCTAGTGCCCGATGCCATGAGGGCGCCGTGCAGCCCGGCTTGCCGGAGTGCAAGGCCACCAGAGTTTGGGCCCATTTTGCCCAGGGATTACCCCTGTGGTACACCGCCTGCGCTGCGATGAGACGCCGTCCTTAACTTAGCAAAAGATTCGAGGGCGATGAGCACGGACGACCTTCGCCCGATCCTTATTGAAGTTGATACGCGCCACGCGTTGAAGCGCGGACACATTCATGAAGTGTTTCAGCTGCTACGTCAGGATGAGCGTCGTCGAGCGCGCGTCTGTTCTGGCCACCTCGCGCCAGCGGCCGCTCGCCTCGCCCGGTAGGTGGCTGGGGAGGGGATTTCGCCCCCACTTCTTACCGCCGCCATCGAGATTCTCCGCTATCATCGTCGCCATCCGTTGCCACCGCGGCTCAAGACGCTCTGGGGCCCCGCCGCGCGCCAGCCCGCGCCCGCCGAGCTGCCCAGGGCAGGCACCTGACAGTTTCCTCGGCGAAGCCGCGACAACGCACCTCATGATCTCCTCCGTCAATGCGGCGAAGGTCATCAACCCGTTGCAGGTTGTCTGCGCGCAGCCCCTGCTCCCGCGCACCCCGCCAGGTGGCTGGGCGCCAACTGCCCTCGCTGCGCCGCGGCCGATGGCTGCGCCGCCGCTTCCGACCACGACAAAGCGTTGCCCCTCACCAAATACGCTGCGCGCGTCGTCCCACCTTGCGCCGGGCGCAAGCAGCCCGCCCGCATTGCGCGGCAGCCGGGCGACCCCGACACCTCGGCGCACAAGTTGGTTGGCGAGCGCTTCCACGAGCACGACCAGGCTATCTGAGCAGTACTCAGAGACCCCCCCTTCGTGTCACTGCACATGATCATGAATCACAGTTCGCATCACATGAGCGCCCGCCCCTCCGAGAAGGGACGGCCACAGCGCGGCGTCGCCATGCCATGGGCGAGCGGGCCGCTCGCTCAGAGGCACCGCCCATCGTCGCCAACGACGCCGCGCCCGACCCTGTTTGTTGCCAGCCACGAGTCCGCCGTCTGAACTTCCTTCACAGAAATTTTCAAAATTGCCCAGCTCGCCGAACCCGGCGCCAACATTGTTGGCCCCGCGGCAGGTTGCGGCCCCGATGTCCGCCTCGAGAACCGGCGCGCCGCCGCCAACGGCGCGACCGCCCTCCGTGCACAACGTCAAGATGGGTCCATTGCGCTGCCCCAGAGCCACCACCGACGAGGACGCCCGCGCCTGCATGGCGCAAGGAAGACCGCCAAAACCGAAGGCAACGAATCCCGTCCATGCCAGCCCAAGAGAGTCTTCTCCATTGTTGACCCGGACGTCCAGCCGCTGCTTCGCATTATCTCATACGGCATCATCGCACTGAGGGCCGAATATTGGCCGATCCTCTCCGCAAAGCTTGGCATGGTCGAGTTCGCCTGGTGCCGCGCGATCTGCCAAAGCCGCAACGTCGTCAGGGGCGGCGCCCTCGTCAAGCTCGACAAGTTCGCTAGAGGCAAGTACGCCCATGCCTCCTGGGAGTGACGTAATCTTCGGTTCCGTCCGCGCCGCGCACATCGAGGACGATCATCACTTCGACTGCGACGCGCTGCAGGTCATCAGTGCAACGCCGAGCACTCGGTATTGTAATGGCCTCCGACCAGTGCCGCCGATGTGGGGGGCTCCGGATTCGGTGATCTTGGAGTCGTCGGGGACGCTGTTTGGGAGGGAGGGCGCTCTTGGAGTCATCAGGAACGCTTTTTGGAGCTGACGTGCCCTCTGGGGGGGTGCCTGGAGCGGTCCCGGGGGGGTCCGGGGAGAGTTCCGAAGGGAGGGTCCTGGGGGCGGTAGCGGCTAGATATGAGGGGGGTCCCCGGGATCCCCCGAAACATTTTGGGGATGTGCAAATCAGAAACAAAACGCCAGATGGGGGACCGCCCCCCCCCCCTCCCCTCTTCCCCGGGGGTGGTCTGGGGAGGGCTCCGAGGGGAGAGTCCTGGGGGGGGTCCCTGGTACCACCCGAAACATCTTGGGGATGCGCAAGTCATTAAGGAAACGCCAGATGGAGGACCCCCCCCCTTCCCCGGCAGAGCCACCCCAGCGACCCCCCCCAAGCAAAGCTGAAGCTCTCGCTTAGGCTCAGAGCTGAAGCTCTCGCTTAGGCTCAGAGCTGAAGCTCTTGCGGAGGCTCCTTGTAGTTCACACGCCGGATCGGCGGATTTCGCTGGCTAGCCGACTTCAACAGCCTGGGCATCGTCGCCGACCGCAATGAACCGCAGTTTGGCGCAAGGCCGACGTTCTCGCCATCTTTCGCCGCGCGACAGGCTCAAGCGCGAGATGCGACCCCGACCAGGCCACTGAACTCGCTGCTGCTTTCTCTCTACGTGCTTGGACATTCGCGAGGGGTTCGCATAGCACCGATCTCGATCGTGCCGCCATAGTATGCCGACATTTCGACGCCATCATGATGATCCGCACGCGCATGGCAGCCGCCATTTATCTTGAACATGGCCACAACTATTCTCCGGACCCGCCACGCCCGTCACTGTCGATGCCCCTTTGCCGACGCATTCGAGCCACCCGCGCAACATCGCACGGACACATGCATATGATTGTATAACCACCCCGTGACTTGGCATACGGCGTGCTGGCGGCGCGCATCGTTTTCTCTTGCCGAACTAATGCTCAATTATTTGCGCTACCGCTGCTCACAGCATACACCTTGCCTGGGCAGCCAACGATTACCACAGCCGATTCAATCAGACATTATGCTTCGAAAGCCAAGGGGATAGGAAGATCACAATCAAGCGACAACCAATACATGATACGTTGAAGTCGCTCTGCCTCTACAATACAACCACGCCGTATTCAACTCGGTTGGCTCCTCGGGAATGACCACGCGCGTTCTTATTGTTGCCCGACCGGTTGGCCCAACACAGCTATATGAAAGCGAGGCCGGTAAAGATAATGATCATCTAACATTGTCGACGGGGGGGGGCGCCATACGCCCAGTGGAGAAAGGTGGCATGCACGACCATGCAGCGCCAACCAGCAGAGGCGCAAGGAAGAGATAGCCTGTACGACGCGGTGATAGAGGGGAGGCCGCAAGGGCGGCTCCGCGGCTGAAAAGCAAAGACAGCCGCTTGCGGCAGGGAAAAGGAGGCGGCCAGGACAGGATAACCACACACAAATACCGACACCCGCTGTCTTGTTCCAGAACCCGCGTGGCGGTACGGTCGCCCAACATTTGCGTGACATGGGCGCCCCCTTCCTGCCGCACCGCCTGCACCTCTCGACCACTGAGCAAGATATGTTATCACTTCCACTCCGACGAAGCCTCATACTACGTGACGCGCTTCTTCACCGCCACTTACTGGCGGGAGCGCGCCTCAATCGGCAAGGTGGAGGTCGAGGGAGGTATTTGTCTTCCCACATGTAATATTTCCAGCATGCGTAGGCGTGATCATCATAGTTAATGCTCTTGCTCCTCGTTCCTCGTCATCTGTGTTCCTACTTCAGTGCCTAATCCCGCTTAACATCATCAGCTGCATCATCAGCATCGCCATCGTCATGAGCATCATCGATGCCCGTCTGTATCTTCTGGTCCTTCCTGCTGCTAGTGATGTGCATCATTATGTTGCTCCTCATCCTCCCCGTCGCCACCTTCCTCCCTCCTCGTTGCGTTGATGATACCAGCAGTCTGTCATGGCTTTACCTTTCACCCAGCAGTGGTGAGCCGACAGAGCGCAAGACAGCAGCTGCCCAGGTCTTGCATCGCTTTGCCTTCTCACCCTCGTCCCACATCATCCTCATCGTCCGCATATGTCTGCTCCTCAGCCTCGACGTCCCTCGTCTTTCTGATCCTCCACCCTCCTGGCCCTTCCCTCCCATAGGCCGTTGCTACGGGAGGACGGAGGAGGAGATGGAGGAGGAGATGGAGGAGGAGAAGGAGGAGGAGGAGCAGGGAAGGAGGGACGGAGGGAGGAGGAGGAGGAGGAGGAGGAACAGGACCACTGCCGCCCAGGCGAATGCCAGTTCAGAATCCGGCGCGAAGCCCAGAGGTTCTGCGACGGCCAGGCCGACTGCAAGGCCGAGCCTCGGGTGGTCGCTGCGGCTTCCGCCGCCGGCCGCCTCACCCTCTTTTGCTCTTGGTCTTGATCCTGCTGTTTGCCTCTCATCCTCCCTCCTCGCCCCCTTCCTGAAGGAGGAGGAGGAGGAGGAGGAGGAGGGACAAGGAGGAATGATATGAAGGAGTGAGGAGAAGGAGGAGCAGTTCGTCCGCCTCCTCCTTTTCCCGCTCCTGCTCCTCCTCCAGCTCCGCCTCCTCACCCTCTCTCCTCCTGCTCGTCGTCTCCGCCGCGCCTCCTCCTCCTCCTCCTCGCATTGCTTCGGGGGTTCAAAGATGGGGTCGAAAGTGATGGCGCCCTGGGGATGGGAGAAGACTTCCAGGTTGAATCTGCCTGCCCTGTTCGGGGCCTCATCGCCTGGCTTCACCGCTGAAGCGCCGACAGCTGGCAGGTCACGGGGGGTGGGGGCGCCATAGCATGGAACGGAGCTTCTGTGATTTCCGCGGCGTGGGGGCGTGGGCCGTTTTCCGAAGATGATGCCTCGAGCGCGAGAGGCCTCGCGGCTCTTCGAAGGTGGCAGAGGTTCTCAAAACGGCGTGGTGAGACCCTCGAGGTTACCAGGACAGAGAACCTTCTGTGACCGCATATTTTTGAGACGCAGGACTGCCCACGGTTACGACGGAGGCGGCCAAGGCAAAGGCGAAAGCCTTGCTCGAGGAGTGGATGGTCTCAGTGATGGATTTGGCAGCCTTGGACAGGCAGTCGGCTGCGGCCATTCATTACGTCACGAAGCTGTCACAGGACACCGTGGACCTTGAGGCGTTGGCCGATTCACAGGAGCAGATCCCGTTCGAGGGGGGATGGCTACAGAAACGGAACCAGTGCCCTTGGGCAAGCTGTCGGCGGCGCGTAGGGCGAGGCGCCAAGAACGGCGCGAGGAGTCCTGGACACGAGGGGGCACGAGGCGGCGATGGTTGCGCTGCTCCAGACGGGGGAGCAAGCCGAGGTCGCTGAGGCTGATGATAGGGGCGAGGCGCTGCCCGAGCTCATCGCCGTGACCAACATGGGCGCGCGCATTGTCGTGCAGCGCTTGAAGCCGTGCCCTACCCAGGAGTGAGGCTGGGAAAGATGCCATGGCGGCCACGGACAAGGCAAATAAGACAAAGGAAGCCAAGTCCAACGATTTGCACCGTCCGCCGCCCCATGGACAGTGAACCGACGACCAGGTGCTGGAGAGCCTTCTGGCGGCAGACAGTGCGATGGTCTGCCTGATGATGGTCTTTCGCTTGGTGGACTTCCACGCCGTGGGGGTCCTGAATGTCATCCCGCGCCAGTGCTTCCATGGGTGCCGTGATCATATTCTGCATTTGCGGGTGCCGTCCGCGCTGTCCAATTCACCGACAGGTCATACACGAAGCGCAACACGCGCATCACCTCGAGGTGCGTGGGATTAGCGAGTTCACCGCGCGGGTGGTCAATAGGGCTACTCGCGACGCCAGGGGCTGCGGCATCTGTGAGACCAGCAGCACGGCAGGGAACCGACAACATCGAGACAGATATTAGCTACCAGAGAAACAAAAAGCAGCAGCATCATCCACCGTCAGCATCGCAATCGTCATCGTGTCCTCCCCCCTCCTTCTCTTGTCAAGGATGGGGTCGCTCTATCACTGGCAGCTTCAGCTGTTGGCCCATACGAGGTGTGGAAAAATGTCCTCTGGCGGGCGCACACTGCTTATACTTATATGATCCTCTCGGACCTCCCCCTTCTGTGGCCAGTGTCCCTCCTCTCCTCGTCCTCAGCCTCATCCTCATCCCTCCCCTTTTCATCATCCCTGACCCAGTGGCTTTCTCATGCTCCCCATCATCATGACTATCAGAAACACCATCACCATCCCCACGCGAATGTCTCCCCATTCTTCTACCCCTCCTCGCTTCCCCCCCCACCCCTCTCCTCGCCCCCCCCCCCCCCTTCCCCGTCGGCGGGGGCACCAGGCCGTGCTGCTGCACCCCTTCGGCGGCGACTGCGCGGGGGGCCTGGGCTGCTACACCCCGCGCCGCGGGGAGGACGGCTGGGCGCCGCGGGGCGTGGGAGGACCGTCTAGGATCCCGGCGTTTTGCCAGAAGCCCATGTGGGCCCGCACCGGAGACAAGGGAAGACGAGGAGGTGCAGGAGGTGCAGGAGGAGGAGGAGGAGGAGGAGGAGGAGGAGGATCAACATGGGGCTCTCGCTTGAGACTCCGAGGGGTGCAAGAACGGCGGGCCTGTGCAGGAGGGCGGCGGCGCGGATCGCGCAGGGCATCCGTGCCTGACGCAGAACCCGCGCAGTCCGCACGCAGTGTGGTGTACATCGTGGTGCTTGCGGAGGTCGGAGCGTGGAGCGGCAGCGGCGAGTCCGTCGATGCCATCGGGCGGCGGCTCGACGGCCTGGCGCGGCAATGCCAGCAGCTGGGCAGAGTGCAGCTGAGGGCGGGACGCAGAGACGTGGCGGAGCTGCTGTTCAGGAGAGGCGCTGCATATGCCATGGCAGCGCAGCCGATACGTGACAAGATGAAAAACTCAGGCGGTCGGTTCCATTGTCAGTTTCCTCCCCTTCCCCTCCCTCCTCCCTCCTCCCTCCTTCCTTTCCCACCCACCTCACGATTCTCCCCTCGTTGTTCTTGAACTTTATTTTACACTACCCATCGTAGTCTGTTAGCCGCCTCTCCCCTCTGTCCCCTCTTGGGCTCAAGTCAACACGGGCGAGGCCCGCGGGCGGGCCTTTCAGCGGTCGTGCTTGGGCACGGCCTCCCCACCGCGGAGCGATTCCGCGGCCTTTCGCGCTCGCGGGCGCGCTGCTCGCGTTCTTGGGCCTCTCGGGCGACCTCCAGGAGGAAGTGCTGGCCGCGGGGGGCGGCCTGAACCAGGACCAGGTCCTGGACTTCTTCGGCCTGCACTTCGAGGGCGAGGGGGACGACTACACCGAGGAGGACGAGGCGGTTGAGACCGCTGAGGTCGAGGAGGTCAAGCTCATCGACGTTGCGGCCGACGTCAGCGTCGTCGGCAGCACGCCGCTCGTCATGGGCGGCTGGGCGCAGTGCAACAGGATCTACTTTCCAACGGGCAGGCCTCGGGCGTTGTCATGCTTCTGGTGGAGCGGGTCGGCAAGGCAGCCGATCAGACGTGGACGTGCGTGGACCCGAGCCCCAGGGTGCAGATCGGGAGTTTGAAGGACAAGCTCCCGGTCTTCACCAAGCTTCCGCGGGGAATCAGCAGCTGGACGCCATTCCCAGGTTTGACCGACAAGACGAGGGTTATGGTGCTGGATGCTTCCTCTCGCCTGATTGCGCGGAAGGAGTTGGACGCCGAGAGTGTCAAGTTGAATAAGGCTTCGGACAAGAAGAACTGCTTCTGGAAGTCGGGCGGCACGAAGGAAGGTCTCGAAGAAGTCGGGCCTCGTGAAATGGGTCTGGGCTATGGTCTCGAACCTGTTCTGCTACGGGTGGCTGCACCGCAGGTGGGGAAGCCTGGCTGGCGGGGCCTTCGCCGCCTGGCGCATCCGGAGATATTTCCAGCTGGGGCCCCTCTTCCACAAGATGAACGAGGCGGCGGTGGCCGCGAAGGATACGGCGGAGGAGGTGTCCGACTACTGGGGTATCCTGGTGGGCGCCTGAGAGTCTGGAGAGCTGGAGACGATCCTGATGGCCATCGGGGGCGTGGTCTTCGGGGTGTGGCTGCTGAACTACATGTTCCGCCAGTGGCAAGGGCTCTCGACTCAGATTCGGAGTGCGACGCGTCCAAGGGCGAGCTGATCCTCGGGGCCACGGTGCCCGACTCAGACGACGAGACCGACGCGAAGGGGTTGTACGCCGAGCTGAAGCGTGGGCAGACTAGGCTGCAAGCGGGGCTGGTGGCGATCACGGAGGCGCTGGGACAGAGCAGGAAGGAGCCGCCAGCTGCGCCTGTCGGTGGGTCGGGGAGCTCCGCTGAGGAGAGTGCTGTGCCGACGACGGCGCAGCCAGACCAGTTCATCGCCAAGCTGAACGAGCACGAGGAGCTGGTGAAGAGCGACTCGGATCGGGGGGCGGGGGGCGGCAGACGCGAAGCAGGAAGGTCGTCCTCCGAGTCGGAGTGGGAGAAGCTTCCGCCCGTTCCCTCAGGCTCGCTCTCGGGCGCGATCGCCCAGCTCGAGATGGAGAGCAAGAATCCCGGGGACGCCCTTTTCCAGACCTTGAAGAGTTACGAGCACATCCCCAACGGGCGAGTTGGGGGGGGGGTCAAGACTCGGGCGGCGCCGACGGTGCTGAGCAAGGTCTACAGGGGGGGCCGCTCTGCTAGGATCGAGGTGCAGGAATGGCTGAGGAGCAAAGAGCTCACCAAGGCCCCCATCGCCAACGAGATGTTAGTCCTCGCCACGACGCTGGACCGCACGATGGCATCGGGGGTTTCAAAGGGCTGATCAACTCCCAGGCCAGCGAGCTGAGCTGCCTCAGGATGTACGCGATCATGAAGGCCTACGATGGCGCGACGTGCGAGAGCGACTGGAAAAGGCTTCGCAACGCGGGCGGGGCCAAGTGGAGGTCGAAGGTCGACCGGTCGCTCGGGGAAGAGTACCTGAGGCTGACTTCGCAGGGCACCATCGAGGACGCCCTGGCCGACGACGAGGCGGCGGACAAGCTGAGGAAGCGGGCGCAGATCCAGAAGCACCTGGCGTCGGCGCGGGGCGCGGCGCCCAAGGATGACGAATGGCGGTGGCCCGAGGGTGCGCTTTGGAGTGGCGTCCCTTGGGCAAGTCTTGCACGGCTGTGCTCGCCCCCGTGGATCCGTGCTGCGTTGGGGTCGTCAGCGGGGAGATCGCCAGGTCGAGGGCGGGGCGGGAGAGTTGAGGCCCTCGGGCTCGCCGCGCTGAGCCTCGCTAGCCGAATTGACGCTGGGCTGCGGGGCTATTCGAGTTCAGGCCATGTCTTCTATATCGCGGATCTGAGCTGCACCGCTGCGCCCATTCTACGTCGCGCCCCAGGTGAGTGGGCGCTTCTTTTACGCCCCCCAGATGATGATGGACTCCCGAGAGGGGGGCCCGCTTCGAAGCCTGCCTCCACCGACGGGGCCGTTGACGACGAGGGGCTCGAGCTCGGGCTTCGCGGCGGAGCAGCTGCGTTTGACTTGGCGGCGTACCTGTCGGACGGTTCGGTCTCTTCGTGCCCTCGCTGTTGGGCGGGTCGGCGCAGTCGATGGGGCGGCTGCGCTGAGCTCGTGGTCGGGGGCGACTGGGCCCCAACGCAGGGTGGTCAACGACATCTGGGATCGCCGCGCCGCCCTAGGGGCGCGGGGGGCATCGGCGACGGCAAGGCGGCACTTCGACGTCAGCGGGGGCCCGACAGCTCGAGCCATGCGGCAGGCGGGGGGCGCGGCAAGAAGCAGACTGCATCATCTACTACATTTATCAAGAAGGGCGACCTCTGCAGAATGGTGGCCGACCAGGTTTCGTTGCCGCCTCCGGGGGCCGCGGGCCTGTCTCGGGCGGGTCATTCGGCGACCGCGGCGCCCTACTTGGAGCGCTTAGAGAGCCGGATGCTGGAGGGTCCGAAGGAGGTGGACTGGGAAAGGCACGAGATCATCAACAGCTACTCCGATCCAGGCTGGAAGGGTCGACGCACCAGGCTCGCCGTGGCCGCGGGGGCATCGATGCAATCAGGTGTGGCACAGTGCGTCAAGGAGGCGAAGCACACCGTGGGGCTCTTTTGCGTGGCAAAGGACGTGGGCGAGAATGGGCGGGACGTGGTCAGGTTTCGCCTCGTCTGGGGCGCTCATTTCGGCGGCCGCCGTGGACGTCGCTGGGGTCGCCGTCAGCCCTGTCCGAGCTGGAGTTGACGAGTGACATTTTGAAGGGCCGTGCGCTGGGGAGCTTCCACGGGGACGCGCCCGATTGGTTCTACAGGTTGAGGTGGACAGACGGACTGGCAGAGTACTTCGCGCTCAAGGGGGGTTACGCCCGAGGAGCTGTACACCTTTGCGAAGGAAGCTGGCGTGGACCTCCCCGCCCCGCCCGCGGGGGCCGCGGGGGCGGGGTCTGTCGCGCTGGTGACGGGTGCTGCCTGGGCGGTCTTTCTGGCCCACTCTGCCCTTGTCGACTGCTTCGGGCCCATGGGGGGGCTGCCCACGGAGCATGTCACTTCGGGCAAGGTGTGTCCGAGTTTTGCCAGGACCAAGCTGCTGGCGCTGCTGTGCGTCGACGACTACATAGGCCTGATGCTCGTGAAGAATGGGGAGGATGTCGAGCTCGAAGCGACCAAAGACCACGTTCGGAGCTACTTGAATGCGAAGGGCCTCGCACTGCGCAAAGAGGAGGCAGGGGGGGGGACTTCGGCGAGGGCTAGGACGCACAATATCGGGGCGCCCCTACACGTTGAAGATCTACCCCGAGAAGATGAAGGACCTGACCATCTGCACCGAGGCGATCGTAGTGACTCCGTGCGACCGCGGGGGCTGGCCACGGCGGCGGGCTGCTGGGCCTGGGCGATGTTGATCTGCAGGCCTGCCTATGCGATCCTGGGCGCCTGCTACCGATGGGTCGGCAGCTTCGCGGAGGAGGACGCCGAGAAGCCGCAGCGTCTTCCGGTCGCCGTGTCGGACGAGCTGAAGGCTCTGGGGTCGCTGGCCATTTTCTTCGAGGCGAACCTGGAGCTGGACTGGCACATGACAGTCTACATGGCCGATGCGAGCGACGAGGGCTTCGGTCCGGCAGCGACGAAGTCGAGCGTGGAGGAGATCAGGGACGACTTGGGCCGCGGGGCCGAGCAGGCGCGGCAGATTCGCGCTGGGGAGACGCACATGGAGATAGAGGAGGTGGCGAGCAAGGCGGGTCTGGAGGAGGACGAGATGATGCACCCGCACGAAGGTCGGCCTGGTATACTGGCGCTGCAGCAGGGCTTGCTGGACCTGAAAGGAGAACTCGGGCACCAGGTGGGCGCTTGGATAGAGGACGTGCGGATGGAGGAGCTACTGAACGTGATGATGGCGGAGCGCCTCTTCAGCCGTCTGAGGAGGCGTTGGCATTGGATCTGCCACCTCACCATGTTCTTGGGCAC